AGGGGAGGAGTTGAAACTCCCTTCTATCTGGGACTCTCAGGAGACCTCCACATCGATTTTTTTTTTTTTTTTTTTTTGAGATGGAATCTTGCTCTGTTGCCCAGACTGGCGTATGGAGGCATGATCTCAGCTCACTGCAACCTCTGCCTCCTGGGTTCAAGTGATCCTCCCACCTCAGCCTCCCAAGTGGCTGGGATTACAGGCACGTGCCACCACAACCTGGATAATTTTTGTATTTTTAGTAGAAACAGGGTTTCACCATGTTAGCCAGGCTGGTCTCGAACTCCTGACCTCACGTGATCCACCTGCCTGGGCCTCCCAAAGTGCTGGGATTACAGGTGTGAGCCACTGCACCCGGACCCCACGTTTATTATTAAGAACACTTGTTGCTTATGTAGGGCTGTTGGGCCCCACAGGGTCGTGGGGTGTCCCTTATGCTGTGCTGAGATGCAGGATCCGAGAAGTAAAGAGACAGGACACTGAAGAACTGGTGAAGAGCATCTGGACTCGGGGTCCACAGCACCTGTGAGCAGAGATCAGCAAGAGCCCCAAATGCCCAGAAGCATCTGTATTTTCTGTATTTATTAGGTACAAGCAGGGGGCAGGGTCACGAGTGAGGTCATCATCTGTAGGCTCAGTAATAGGGCATACATAATCACATGAGTCACAAGCGAGGGAGCCATCCCGTTATGTCACCTGGGCAGAGAGGTGGGCCGTGCGCAGTAGGGGGCCGTGCCGTGCGCAGTAGCAGAGGGTCGTGTACAGAAAAGGGGTCCACCCCCATTAGGTCACCGAGGCAAGGAGGTGGGCTGTGTGCAGCAGGTGTCATGCGCAACACTTCTTACCTGGGGGCTGGAGGCTTCGAAGGGTTTCTAATAGAAGGATGCTGTAAGCCAGTGCAGTGGGAGCTGACAGACGTGTGCTCTTCTCTAAGATATTTATGGGAGGATGATTTGAGCCAGCACAGAAGCGAGAAAAAGCTGACAGAGTGCACAGCCGCCGCGACTGGTCACACCAGAGGGGTTCTTCTCCCTCGGTTACTTCCAGGATCTCAGGCCTGAGGCCGACTTTCCACGGGAACTGGATGCAAGGTGCTACAACTCCTTTATCAGGAGGAGAGGCTCCTGCTCCAGGCCTGCCATACGGCGTTTGCCCTTTCAGGCAGGGACGCCACCGCCTGGGTCTTTGGTTCTCGTCCTGGTCTGGCTGTTCTCCCATGAACTGCTTCTGTTCTGTGACTGCTCCAGGCATTCCTCCTAGTACAAACTACTATACGGTTGTATGGAAGGATTCTATAAATCAGCCCTAAATGTGTCAGTACAGCTTCGACTACAATACCTGTATGATTAAATAGAAAGATTATATGGAACTAAGTATAATTGTATATATAAGCTAGTATATAGTAAGCAGTGAGTTATGCTTCAGGCACTAATTATGCCTGGGGTGCACAGTTCTTCCTCGCTGCCCCTGGGAGTGTCACCCACAGCTTAGGTGAAGCGGAGCCCGCACCCTGCTTGTGGCAGTCTCGCAGCACTTGACCCAAGGCCGATCTGAGCAGATGCGTCTTTTCTTTTGCAGAAGAAGTGAGTGAGGAAGAAATGAGTGAAGATGAGGAACGAGAAAATGAAAACCACCTCTTGGTTGGTAAGAGGCACCCCTGGAGACAGGGCATCCTCGTCTGTCTCCGAGTGCACAGCCCGCTCTTAAGTCAGCCTGTCCTGCAAGGCGTGGGGCATGCCAGGAGCTGACCAGCTGGGAGGCTACCTCATTCGTGGCCACTGCAGTCTGTGCTGGTGGGGCCAGCATCCCTCAGCGAGGCACAGTCCTGACCAGCGGCATCCTGAGTGCCCAGCAGGGAGAAGGATCTGGGAAGCACCCCCTGGGCCCAGTGCCCACGGGAAAGGCCAGTCAGGCAATGAGGGCTGTGTCCTCAGCCTGGGGGACATGGATCCAGGCTTGTCCCCCATGTGACACTGCACACCTCCTCCCAGCTCAGCATCTGGGCTGTCTCAGCCGAGCCTGTGAGGACTCGGTGCCCTGTGTCCAGGAAGCGAGAGCCCAGCACCAGCACCTCCCATCAGGCCACAGGGCAGCCCAGCACCAGCACCTCCTATCAGGCCACGGGACAGCCCTGCCAAGAGCTTGGTGCCTCCAGGGCAGGAGGAGGTTTGTGGTCCTTGCTTGTTACTAGCTTTGTAATTAGGTTCAACTTTTCCAGTTCCAGAGTCACGGTTTGACCGAGATTCCGGGGAAAGTGAAGAAGCAGAGGAAGAAGTGGGCGAGGGGACGCCGCAAAGCAGTGCGCTGACAGAGGGCGACTACGTGCCTGACTCCCCAGCCCTGTCACCCATCGAGCTCAAACAGGAGCTGCCCAAGTACCTCCCGGCCCTGCAGGTCAGGCCCTCCCCCACCCCTGCAGGTCAGGCCCTCCCCTCACCCCTGCAGCTCAGGCCCTCCCCTCACCCCTGCAGCTCAGGCCCTCCCCCACCCCTGCAGGTCAGGCCCTCCCCCACCCCTGCAGCTCAGGCCCTCCCAAAGCCACTGGGCTGCTATCCACATTGGCAGTCGGAGTTAGCACAGGGGCTGGCTCTGTCTGCTGCTTAGCACAGGCTGAGCAAAACCTGGCCCCTACATTGGCATCTGTTGCCTCAGTGCTGCTGGACCCACCTGGGCAGAGAGAATCAGGCATGGCTGCCAGCCCCCTATGCTTCCCGGTCCTGCCTCTTCCTCTTGCTGGATGGCACTGGGTGGGCAGGGAGGTGCCGCGGGGCTGCTCTGGGGTGTGGAAGCGGAAGGAGGCGGCCTGGGCCCGGAGCCACTCTGCTGTCACTGCCGCTGCTTCCTCTGCAGTGGAGACCAGTGCTCTCCTCTTGGCCCCTGCGTGGGTGGGTTACATGGGCACCAAGGCCTCGTTAACTGGCATAATGAGGGATTGGTGGGAGCTACGGGAATCAACGTAGATGTATGTGGCCATAAGCTTTTTGTTTGGGCAAGTATCGGTAAGGGCAGGATATTGCTGGGAGTAATTTGGAAGGGACAGGCCTGAGAGGATGCCAGTGGCCTCGGTGGCCTGGGAGACCTGCAGGGGCTCAGCCTCCTCCTTGGCGCCTGTGGGTGGAGAGGTTCCCTCTGGCATGTGTAGCCCGTCTACTGCCCTGTGCCTATGAGCGCCTCGCCCGTACTCCTGAGCGGAGGTATCTGGCACAGGCCACCCGAGGACATGAGGTCCAGCCGCGGTCAGCAGTCCCGAAGTCCACCCGGGGAAGTGTGTGGCGCGGGGCGTCATGCTGCACTGTGGCAGGTAGTGTCTGTCCTCAGTGTCCTCCTGGTACAAGCAGGTACACACCCAGTTTGACAGACTCGGGACGGGCTTTATTTGGAGGCAGGGTCTGGCTCTGTCACCCAGGCTGAGGTGAAGTGGCTAGATCGTGGCTCACTGCAGCTTCAACTTCCCAGGCTCACACAGTGCTCCCATCTTAGCCTCCTGAGTAGCTGGAACTATAGGCTCAAGCCACCATGCTTGGCTAATTTTTTTTTCATTTTGTAGAAAACAGTCTTACCATGTTGGTTAGGCTGGTCTTGAACTCCTGAGCCTCCCAAAGTGCTGGGATTACAGGCCTGAGCCCTCACACCCGGCCAGATGGCCTTGTGTTCACACTGATTTTGTTTTGTAATAAAGTGCCACATGGTCTTGAAACAAACATTGAAAGAACTGAGCTGCTGCCGGCCCCACTCCCGCGCTTCCCCAGGCTATGCCTTGCACCCACCCTGTGCCAGGTGTGCTGTGCCAGCCTCCCTCTCTCCGGCTGACAAGGCCACTGAGACCTCACTTAGGCGCCTCCTCCCCAGGGCTGCCGGAGCGTGGAGGAGTTCCAGTGCCTGAACAGGATTGAGGAGGGCACCTATGGAGTGGTCTACAGAGCAAAAGACAAGAAAACAGGTGGGGGGGGTCCCGGCTCGCCCCGACAGGGCAGGGGAAGGGGCAGGGCCTGGCTGTCCCAGGAGCTGCAGCCTGGCCCCGGGGCTCTGCTGCTCCCTGGCAATAGCAGGCGGCCTGCCCCACAGGGCCGAAGCCAAGGCCGGGGAGTGGTCTTGCCGGCGTGGGTCTGAAGGGTTCTCTGCCTTGTGCCTGTTCATGTTCCCAGCATCCCGCCCAAGCAGGGGTGTGAGCCAGGGACTCCCCAGCACCTGAGGCCGGCTCTGTTGTCGAAGCCGCATGGCTGCGGGGCTCCCAAGTGGCTGTGGGTGTCTGTGGTGTGTGGAGAGTGGAGAAGCGTGTCGTAGGTGTTGCCAAGACCCCAGCTGGGGCATTCTGCTGCTGCTTGCCCCCGTCTGGAACCAGCCCTTTCTCCGTGAAATGCTGTGCTTTGGGCACGGCCTGCGGTCCCTACTGAATGAGGCTGCTGTTGGTACTGATTTTGAGAACGCCCATCAGTGCCGTCTGTGTGTTCTTCACAGACGAAATTGTGGCTCTAAAGCGGCTGAAAATGGAGAAGGAGAAGGAGGGTTTCCCAATCACGTCGCTGAGGGAGATCAACACCATCCTCAAGGCCCAGCACCCCAACATCGTCACCGTTAGAGTGAGCAGGGCCCCGCTGCGCCGGCCCCGGGTGGAGGCTGTTCGAGGGACAGGGCCGTCCTGTTCTGAGGGGGCTCCCCTGCGCTTAGCAGAGTCCTTCACAGACCACACAGAAGCAAGCATTCGCCTCCCGGTGGCACCGGAGGTCCTTACTGTCCCCCAGCGTCTGCATCCGGGTTCAGGTGGTGGTGGGGTGTCTGGGGCTCGGTGGCGCCCAGCACCCTCAGAGCTGTGCCCTGCAGGAGATCGTGGTGGGCAGCAACATGGACAAAATCTACATTGTGATGAACTACGTGGAGCACGACCTCAAGAGCCTGATGGAGACCATGAAGCAGCCCTTCCTGCCAGGTATAGCCATGCCGGGGCTCTGGGTACACGGGCGGGAGCGGGGTCCTGGTTGCCCCTTGGCGACACTGCTGCAGGGTGTGTGCCAGGCCAGCTGCGTCCACGGGGAAGGCCTCGAGAGGCCTCTGTTGCACCGAGGCGAGTGGGCCACCCTGAGGACCCCGGGCGGGGGCAGCCAGGTACATGTGCGTGGCTGTCCCCTCCCAGGGGAGGTGAAGACCCTGATGATCCAGCTGCTACGGGGGGTGAAGCACCTGCACGACAACTGGATCCTGCACCGCGACCTCAAGACGTCCAACCTGCTGCTCAGCCACGCCGGCATCCTCAAGGTGAGCCCCGCCCAGGCGCTGCCCCAGGGCCGCCTGCCCTGCCTGCTCACAGCCACCCTCTGTCCTTGCAGGTAGGGGACTTCGGGCTGGCGCGGGAGTACGGATCCCCACTGAAGGCGTACACCCCAGTGGTGGTGACCCTGTGGTACCGTGCCCCAGAGCTGCTGCTGGGTGCCAAGGTGAGTCCCGGGTGTCTGAGCGCCTCCCTCCCCTCACACAGCCTCCCGGCTTGGCAGGCCCTGGCCCTCCTGAGCCTCTCCTCGGCCCTTAGGAATACTCCACGGCCGTGGACATGTGGTCGGTGGGCTGCATCTTCGGGGAGCTGCTGACACAGAAGCCGCTGTTCCCTGGGAAGTCGGAAATCGACCAGATCAACAAAGTGTTCAAGGTGGGCCTGGGGCCGGCACGGTCTCTGTGGCATGGGTCCCCTGCTGCAGGCGCCCTGTGGGGTTGTGGAGGAGCTGTGGGAATGCAGCTAGGGGGCCACTGAGAGGCCTTCTGGTGGCTTGTCTTCTCTGCCAGGACACAGGTGCCGGCATCGTGGGCCACTTGGCGTGGCTGTTGAAACTTGTGTGTTTTAGGACCTGGGAACCCCCAGTGAGAAAATCTGGCCCGGCTACAACGACCTCCCAGCAGTGAAGAAGATGACCTTCAGCGAGTACCCCTACAACAACCTCCGCAAGCGCTTCGGCGCCCTGCTGTCCGACCAGGGCTTTGACCTCATGAACAAGTGAGTCCCTGTGTAGCCGGGCGGCCACAGAGGCCACGAGCCACAGCGCTGGCTTCCCTGTCCCAGGCCCACCTGCCGGCTCGCCGCCTTCCAGAACCGTCTGGTGCTTGTCCCCCAATGACCTGAGCCCCGTCCCACACAGCCCATCTTTGGGGGACCCAGTGGGGCACACGAGCGCCTCCTGTGCCTCTGGCCCTCTCCCCCCAGGTTTCTGACCTACTTCCCTGGGAGGAGGATCAGCGCCGAGGACGGCCTGAAGCATGAGTATTTCCGAGAGACGCCCCTCCCCATCGACCCCTCCATGTTCCCCACGTGGCCCGCCAAGAGTGAGCAGCAGCGTGTGAAGCGGGGCACCAGTCCGAGGCCCCCTGAGGGAGGCCTGGGCTACAGCCAGCTGGTGAGGGGTCTGGCGGGTGGGGCGTGCCCACGGGGGGGCTGGCTTGGGCAGGGTCCTCACGGTAGCCGACTCGTGTCCAGGGCGACGACGACCTGAAGGAGACGGGCTTCCACCTTACCACCACGAACCAGGGGGCCTCAGCCGCGGGCCCTGGCTTCAGCCTCAAGTTCTGAGGGTCAGAGTGGACCCCAAGTCATGGGGAGAACTCGGCGGGGACCACAGGCACAGCTTCTGCAGCTGGAGTTGTCATGAGTCTCAGAACTTCATCTTATTGTGTGTTCCGTGTTTTATTTTGGTTTGTAAATTTGTAGAATTAAATCATTTTCCTTGTGCAGGAAAGAGCCGTGTTTTCAGGTCTACTTGACTTGCACCCAGGGAGGAGAAGGGGTGCGTCTGAGGGTCCCCCCCACACCGTCTCCCATTCTCGACACACATGGGGCTTGCTGGGCAGTGGTTTTGGAGGGGCTGGTGGGGACAGGGTCAGTTGTGGAATCTTCGGAGTCACAGGCCCCCCGGGCTCTAGCGGGACACGACAGGCTGCGCCAGTCTCTTCCCCGGGCAGGATGGGTGCTCCTACCTCCCAGGGCCTCCGCTGTAGCAAGGTGGTCCCCTGGCCCCTACTTGCCCTGGCAGCCTGTGCCAGTCCTCCCAGCCCCCAGCCATACCCACTTGCAGAGGACCCCGGAGGCCCATCCTGCCTCCTTCAGGAAGCCCCCGTTGCCTGCCTCCCCCATCTCTGAGCAAGTCCTAGACAGAGACCCCAGGCTTCCTGGGCTACCCCATGAGCTGCCCCTGGCACTGGGGCTTCACTCGTCCCACCTTCCCAGGAGCCACCTCGGCAAAGCCCATGCCATCCTGGGTTGTACCTGTTGTCTGCTATGAGGGGAAGCAGGGGGTCCCTGGTCCTGAGGACGCCCACCTCCGGAGGGTCAAGGGCCAGGGTGTGTCCACCTGCCCAGGCTGCCACCACCCTCCCAAGAAAGAGCAGGAGACATCAGGGAGAAAGTGCTTTATCAGCCGTGCTCCACGTGGGCTCAGCCCCGCACTCGGACTCGCCAGGAGTAGGTGCTCAGCACGCGCTGCTGCCTGCGCACCACACAGGTGTAGGTGCCCTCGTTGACAGCGTTGGCGATGATGCTCAGGTGCGCCTCGCCCAGGGCCAGGTAGCCGGGGTAGGAGAACTCCAGTGGCTCCTGGTCCTTGTACCAGCTGTGGGGGGGATCTCCTGTAGGCTCAGCCCCCGCTGCTGCCTGGGCGCCCACCCCAAGGACCACCAGGCTCCCCACTTACTACACTTTCCCCTTCTTGTGGAGAATCTTCTGGCCACAGCGGAAGGTCACGTTTCTGCCCTCAGGCACCAGCCTGGTTTTGGTCCTGGGGGGCGGTGGGGTGGCGGCCACCGTGGGGAAGGGAAATTCTGCTCGGGTTGGGGGGAAGAGCCCCGTCAGTGTCCCCCCAGCCCAGACCATGGCCAAGACCACGCAGCCCTGTCCCGGCCTCGGGCATCACCGTAGCAGAAGTCGCAGCTGCTGGGGCAGAGCCTCTTCATGAGCCGCCGGCGGGCGTCGCAGAAGCCCCTCCGCGCCCAGGACGTGCACACGAACAGCCGGTCCAGGCATCCTGCCGGGAGCGCGGGGAGCTCGGCCTGGCTCAGGGCCGCCTGGCCACCCCTCCCGCCCGACAAAGGACTCACCATAGAGCCGGTGCAGCCCCCACAGCTCGTCCTGGGACAGCGCCTTCCAGCCGCGCAGCGTGGCGTTCAGGTGCATGAGCGCCCTGCCGTGCTGTGAGTGCATCAGGCCCAGCGCGTGGCCGATCTCGTGGGCCGCCACGTGCACCAGGTCAGTGAGCCACACGCCTGCAGGCCCCCGCCGGTCAGCGCCTGCGAGCCCCGAGCCCAGCCCCGCCGCCCGTAGGCCAGCTCCCCGAGGCCCGGCACATCTGCTGGAGCGCAGCCGCGGAGCCGCCCTCGGCCGCAGCCACGGAAAGATAAGAATGTTCTGGGCCCAGGCGGTGAGCTCGGCCCCCAGGAATGCAGCTCCAGCTACCGCTCCAGCGGCGCAGGGGGATGGGAAGGGGAGCTCAGGGCTGCCGGGACTAGGGGCTCCCAGGGCTCTCCTCCTTGCCTGCTTGACTCCAGTAGCAGCCACCACCCTGGAAAGTCCCCCCTGCCGCCTGCCCCAAAGCCTGCCTGCCCGCTGCAGCCCCCCGTGTACGGGGAGAGGCCCCCGGAGGCCAGCCTGGAGGGTCACCTTTCTTCCAGCTGTAGCGCGTGGGGCCCAGGACCCAGTACTCGCTGTCGTCGAAGTGGATGCCGCCGTGCGGGGGGAAGAAGGCGTGGGCCAGCTCCCCAGTGGGGCCGTCGAAGCAGTGGTGCAGCGTGGAGACCAGGCAGTCCGTGTGGTTGATCGGGTAGAAACCTGCGGGGAGCACTGGGCTGAGAGGCCGGGCGCGCACAGCCGGGCCGGGCTGGGGGCGGGCGCCCACCTATCCGGAGGTCGCTGGGCTGCTCGGGGGCCACCTCGCGAAAGCTGAAGGGAGACACGTCGCTCCACATGCGGAAGGCGGCAGCCAGGGCCCGCCGGGTCTCCCGCGGGCTCAGCAGGTTCCGCGGGAAGGAGAGGATCCTGCCGGGAACGTGGGCTCAGTGGGGGGCCGGCCGCGCCCCTCCCCCAGGGCCAAGCCACGGCGCACCTGTAGGTGAGATTGAAGTGGTCCCAGCGCAGCCTGGCTGGGGTCAGCGTGTAGCGGCGTCTGCGGGGGGGCAGTGAGCCCGGGACGCGGGTTGGGGGGACCCCCGAGAGGCCCTGAGCAGCGGCGTCTCCCTTCAGGGAAGAAAGCGTGAGTGGGAGGCATCAGTGACGGTCCCCAGGGCCAAAAACTGCCCTGGAAAACGGACTGGAAAGAAACGGGGGTGGGGGTGCCCAGGGCTAGGAGCGGGCGTGGCGAGTCCTGTCTGCCTGCGATTTGGGGTCTCCTATCCCGAGCGCCCGTTGCCCGTCCCTGGGAACGCGGCCCAGTGGAGTGGAAGGGGCTGAACAGGAGGGCGCGGCCTCCCACCCCTCCCAACAACTGGCAGGGGCCCTCCGACCTCGGGACGCACATCCGGACCCTCAAACACCCCACAGACCCCGCACACGTCCTGCAGGCCCCTAGACAGAGCAGACCCATAGACGGCAGACCCCAACCCAATACCTGGCCTCCCCGGGCCGCTCACCTGCGCTGCGCTCCCGGCCGGCACCGCCGGGGCCCCCAGCCGGGCCAGCAGCACCAGCGCGGGGAGGAGGCACAGGGCGACCAGCACGGCTCCGAGCCAGCGGCTCTCGACGCCGGCCCCCGTGTTCTCCGAGGGGACACGGCCCCCGCGGCCCATGGTGGACTTGCTGTGGGGCTCAGGGCTGCATGGGGCAGCACCGCGCGGGGGCCCGGGGCCGCAGAGCCGCCGGGGAGGATCCGGAGGGGAAGCGGCGGCTGGGCGGCTCGGGTTACAGCCCCGTGGGGGGGGAGATGGGGGGGGAGAGGGGGCGGGAGAGGGGGCAAGGCTGCCCCTGAAAGGAACCAGCTGGCCCGTCCGCTGGCCGAGCTGCCTGCTGCCTCTAGCCGGGGGCATGGGGACCTGGGTCCCGTGGCCAGGGGCAGAGGCCTGGACATGGGCTGCTGGGCGTGGTCCTGGGAGTGGGGGGCGAAGAGGGCCCCGCGCAGCCAGGGAAGGGCAGCGCCAAAGGTCCCGCTTCCGAAAGGGCAGCCAGCGGGGGTCCCCAAGCCGGCTGGGCACTGAATGGCCTGGTGGCTTTTTCCCAAACGGAATCCCCAACAATCCCCTGAGCCCCACATGAGCGGAGCCTCCAACCCAGCCCAGGCGACTGAGCGGGGCCGCACGGGACGCGCCGCCCGCCTGACAGCGTCCCTGGGAGATGGGAGGGGACGGCAGGATGGGGACGTGGCAGTGAGTACGGGGCGGCGGAGGGGGGCGGAGGGGAGTGCGTGGGTGGGGAAGGGCCGCAGAGGGTGCCAGGCTGCGGGGTCTCCCGGAGGGCCGGGAAGGGGCGGGCCCTGGCTCGGGAACCCCCGTGGGGGGCAGCACGGGAGGTGGAGAGTGTGCGCTTCCTGAATCTCCCCCCCCCCCACACGCTAGGCCCCAGCAAAGGGGAGAGGGAGACGGGAGGGGAACAGGAAGCCGAGCCAGGCGCGGGGCGTGGAGGTCTGGACCGTCCTGACTGGGGCGCCGGCGGGGAGCGGGTGCACAGCGGCCCGAAGGCTCGACGGGGCGGCCGGCGTCCCGGCGCGAGCGGCTCTGGACCTGGAACCCAGACCCGGCACCGGCGTCCCGCGGGGCGGGGGCAGGGAATGGGGCAGAGGAGCAGGAGGTTCCGAGCCACACAGGCCTGGGTCCCGTCCCTCCCCGTTTTCCGCGCCGGCCTCGGGCCCAGGGTGACGGCGGCGGCCGCGCCAGCGGGGTCAGCGCCAAGCAGTTGGCGGCGGCCGCGGGCGGTTCTTGGAAAGCGCGAGCCGCCGGGCCCGGCCGAGGATTTGCTCCAACATCGCCCCCAACGCCCCGCCCCTCTTGCTCTACGCCCCGCCCCGCCCGCCCTAGCCCCGCCCCGCTCGACCCGCCCCACTCCCCCGGCGCCCCGCCCCCCCGGCGCCCCGCCCCGCCCTGCCCCGCTCGCCCTAGCCCCGCCCCGCTCGACCCGCCCCACTCCCCCGGCGCCCCTCCCCGCCCGCCCCAGCCCCGCCCCGCCGGCTCCACGCCCCGCCCCGCTCGCACCAGCCCCGCCCCGCTCGACCCGCCCCACTCCCCCGGCGCCCCGCCCCGCCCGCGCCCGCCTGCGGGCGCCCTTCCCGGCTCTGGATTCCCAGACCTGCCTGGGACGCCCCCAAACCTCTCCTGGGCCGGGACCCCACAGGAATTTGGGGTCCTGGGGAGCGTTGGGGTCCCTGGGTCACAGGGCGAGTCCCCGCAGCCGCCCCCAAGACGTGAGAGGGGGGCCCGGGGGCGAACGCGGGCGCCTAGGTGGCCGGAGGCGGCTGCGCCCGCGACCGGGGAGTCCCGGCCTGGAGGCCGCAGTCCGCGCGGGAGTCTGGATCTGAGAGCCGGGGCGGGCAGGGCAGACCCCGAGGGAAGGGGAGGCCCCCGAGGCTCGCCCGCGTGTCCCCAGGGCAGGACCCCAGAGGCGCCTGGCCCCCCAGGCAGACAACGGAGGCAACGTCCGAGAATCTTTTTATAAAACACAGGGCGGGGGCTGGCGAAGGCAGCTCGGGCGCGGCGCGCGCGCTCACACGAAGATCTGGATGCGGTCGCGGATGGGCTGGCGGCAGATCGGGCACGCGCTGAGCGCGG